GGGAGGGGTGGATTTGCGAGAAAGACCAGGCCAAAATGGGCCAGGTAGGTGGCTGACTTGCCTCGAACCTGTCTATCTTCCCTCCTGGGGAAGAATGGGAGTCGTAGAGCGAGAGCAGGTGGAGCAGACACATCCTTAGTCGCCCAGAAAAACTCTGTGGGCTTTGTCATGTGGGAGTGGATTTCATTTTGCTTTTTTGACAGCAGTCACGTATTTTCCCTTATTGGTATACTAGTATTGATACATGGTTGGCTTTTAATGGTTAACGCCTTTGAGAGTGGCAAGCAAAGCCAACTTGTGTTTATTGAGGTTTATGTCAGTATGAGTCAAAAGGGCTCTGGCACAAGAGCATCTCAGTCTTTCGCGTTCACCTCTTGGGGTGGCGTTCACAAAATGCCCTGGCATGTCACTTCTTCCTCTAGGTGAACTGGGGGGTCCAGTCCGGCTGGTCCCACCTGCTCCCAAGGGCCGAAGAGTGGAGATGTTTGTCATGGGTGGAACTTGATTCAGGGCGTCACCCTGGATTCTTAGCCTCAAGATTCTCTAGAGGCGTCAGCACAGGGGGGCTCATGCCTGGAATCTCAAATACTTGGGCGGAGGGCTGAGTAGGTAGTAGTAGGATCACTTGAGGCCAGGAATTCAAGACCTGCCTGGGCAACATAGCGAGTCCCTGTCTCTACTAAAATTCAAAAAAAAAAAAAAAAAAAAAAATTTGCTGGGTGTGGTGGCACATACCTGTAGTCCCAGTTACTCGGGGGGCTGAGGTGGGAGAACCACTTGAACCCTCAACTGGAGGTTGAGGCTGCAGCGAGCCCTGATTATGCCAGCCACTGCCACTCCACCCTGGGTGACAGAGTGAGACTCTATCTCAGCGGAGAGGGGGTGGGGAAAAAGGATTCTCAGCTGAGCATAATGGCTCACGCCTGTAATCTCAGCCCTTTGGGAGGCTGAGGTCGGCAGATTGCTTAAGCTCAGAAGTTCGAGACCAGCCTGCGCAACATGGTGAGACACTGTGTCTACAAAAAATTAGCCAGACATTGTGTTGCACGCTTGTAGTACCAGCTGCTTGGGGGCCTGAGGTGGGAGGAGTGCTTGAGCCAGGGAGGTCAAGGCTACAGTGAGCTAAGATCATGCCATAGCACTCCAGCCTGGGTGATCAAAAAAAAAAAAAAATTCTAAGGGAGTCAGCAGTGAAGGGTGATCTTTGTCCTGCATTTGGGGGCCTGGGCAGGGCCCTGCACAGGTGGTGCCTGCCCTGGATATTCTTCCTGTCCTCCCCCTCCCCCAGGGTGAGCACTCACATGCTGAAAACCACCCAAAGGGGAGACAAGCAGTGCAGCCAGGAAGGGGGACATCTTACCCAAAGCAGAAGATATTGAAGAAGCCAAGACAGAAAGTGCTATTTCTGGGAAAAGCTGGTGTTGAGAGAAGGAGGACGGCCATTTCTCAAGATGATAAGATTTCTATATTGAAGGGAAGAAGAGCTGAGATTAAAAAAGCTTAGGGTTTCTGAGGAGGAGCAAAGTCACTTCAGAGAAGACTTAGGGGACAGTTAAGTCTTTTAGAAAATAAGAGGAAATGATGTGACAGGCAACAAAAATGATTTTATTTTATCAACCTAATTCTTACTACCATGATTAATATTACAATACTTTTGTTTTTGAGAAAATATTTACTTTCTAGAGCCCATATTCATTGGGCCTTTGTTACTTTTCCAGGCATGACTGTTCTTAAATCATATTCAATGTTGGCCTTCACTATTTAAACAAGATACAGAATCTTGGAGAGAGGCCAGAAGAGAGCAATGAAAATGACTGAAGGGCTGAGAAATATTGCCTTTGAGAAGAAGCTGAAGAAATGGGTCATTCAGCCTAGAAAAGAGAAATTAGAGAGGTAGTACAATAGTTCCCAAATATTGGGAGGGATACGCAGGGCGGGCGATGCACTACTGTTCAGTGTTTCCTGGGAGACAGAGACAGGGCCATACTGCAGCCGAATGAATGGACGGCACACCAGGTGGACTCTGCTGCCCACCGTGCTTAGCGTTCCCCTTCAGATTGGCCTGTGTGGTGTCCAGAAGCCTGAACTCCAGAAAACATTGAGGGTTACGGCCAAACACCCTAGGAGGATGTGTAAGGTAGGACCGAGGAATAGAGGATGACCATCTGTGCTCAAAGGAAGGCCCTAAATGTAGTGGGGGACGTATCCTCCTGTGGGGCTTTGCCTGGACCATGATCCTGGTTTTGCCTCAACGTTGAATGAGAGCGAAACAAATGGCTCAGATAGCAGTTAAACAGATCACCAAGTGAGCTGGGGAAAAGGATTTCACAAACACAGTTTGACGACTGGGTGACCTTCTGGGCCATCTGTCCTTTGTTGTCACGATTTGGGTGCTTGATTTCTAATCCTGACTCTGCCACTCATTAGCTGTGTGACCCCACTCAAGGTACCTTGACCTTTCTGTGCCTCAGTTTCCTCAGATGAGATGAGGATTAAAAATGGTACCTATTTCTTTAGGATTGCTGTGAGGATTATTTGACTACGGGAAGCTCAGAACAGTGCGTGGCATGTTGTAAGCTCTATGTAAGTTGTTTGTTTAATGGTTTAGTGATATATAAGATGAGGAAAACTGGTAGCAGTTTCTCTTTGGGTCCTCTGTTGCAAGGCAGCATGTGGCTCCTCGGAATTTTGAGCTGAGGGAGGCGCAACATACAAGGATTTAGTGGGATCGTGCGAATGATGTTTGGTACATATGTTTTCTCCATTTTGTGTGCTAAGGCACTACAGAAATAATAAACAGGAGCCACCATTTGCAAAGCCCCTACTGTATGTGCTGCCCTATGATAGCCACTCAATATGTGCTTCTCTAATCCTTCCAACCAGTTTAGGGCAGCCTTTGTTGAGAGCAGTTCAATTAAATCTTATTCAGAGTGTTTCTGATTCAGTGGGAGTGTGTCTTCACAGCACTAGTGGACATGCTAGGCAGTCAGGAGACTACTAAAAGACGTAAAATAAGCACCATAAAAAATGAATGTCCTTAATAAGGTTCCTGTTTCTCATGCATTCATTCAAGCAACAGACCTACTTAATCTTTACTTCCAAAAGACACACAGAAAATGGATGAATGAGTGATTGAATGAATAACTCAGAGGTGCACCTTGCCAGCTGCACAGTAGTAAAGAGAGAAGGGAAAATTCTTTCCCTACTCCCGCAGATGATCCTCTTTTGACCTGAAGCATAATTTTGTCTATAGTATCTGAGTGTGTAATGACAGGCTTTATTAAGGTACTTGGGCCAGTTTGATCTTGGAATCGATACAGGTGCCAGCAACCTCCTCTGAGCTTTCTTCTGGATTGTTAGTATTTTATATATTTTTTAAAAATCTATGTTTGTTCTATTCTCTCCCTAAATTGAGCTGTTCCTATCTGATTACGTGATGGGGAATGCTTCCTCCTGGCAAGTAAATAAATAGTGATTTCACAATTTGTTATGTTGATTAGCAGCTGCTCATGATGCAGATTAATAATATTTCAAATGGGCCTGGATAATTGGCATTTTCTCAGCTATTGATTTTGTAGTTTTGGGGTATGTGCAGGAATGGGTAATCTTTACTGAACACTTTCAGCTACTTATTTCTACATTTGGAGTGGGCCTCCTGGTTTCCTTTTTGGGTGTCCCTCTTTGGGATTCTTTTATTCAGATGTCAGGTCTTTTACCCTGGGTGGCAGCACAGCAAGCAAGATAGTGATCTGAACCAAGGTTGGGTCAGTTCCACGATCAATGGCTGGGTCCCTACCCCATGCAAGGCACTGGGCAGAGTTCTACTGATCACAAATTCAGTGAGATTATAGGGCCTGCCTTCAGGGAATCTAACACTCTTCTGGGGATTTTAGGAACGCCTATAGTTGTCAGAGCAATATTACTATAGATCAGTGCTGTTGAATGGAACTTTCGATATGGATAGAAATGTTCTGTATCTGACCTGAACAATACAATACTCACTTGCCACATATGGCTATTGAGCCTGTAAAGTCTGGCTAGTACCACTGAGGAACTGAACTTTAAATTGTATTTAATTTTAATCAATTTAAATTTAAAGAGCCACACATGCAGCTTATGGATACCCAAAAGGAACAAAACTAACCCTGAAAGAATGCATCATAGGTATAGCAACTGTCCGGTAATTATAAAGGCTTCATAAAGCTCTAACCCTGTGCCAGGCACCATTCTAGAGCTTCACACCTGTCCTTCCCAGCAGGCATGCCGTGAATTGCTCACAGGTACACAGGTCCTGCTTCATCTGTTTATCCCAGTTTGCCATCATTTTGTGTGTGCCATGATGTGAAAAAAAGGAAGGTTAGAAACTCTAGCAAGTTGCCAAAAGGTATACAGACAGGTGCAGATTTACACACTGGCTTTTCCACTTATTCTAATTTAGGACAGAGTCCAAGCTCTTACCAATATACCATCTCTCAGAGAAGGATCACTTTCACTTTGATCATTTGATCTAGTTTTCATCTATGTCTGAGTATAAGGAGCAGAAGTCTCCTGACATTGTACAGTGATTATAGTAACACGACAACGTCCAGGATGTTCAAAATGAACTGGATTATCAACCATGGATATATATCTTGTAAGGAGTTGGTGTTGTGCTCAGTCTGAAAGCAGGATGGTGATGTGGAAAGACTCTAGATTTGGAGTCAGGAAGCCCACCAGCCAGCATATGACCTTGGTTGAGGCACTTGGCCTCTTTCGGCTCAGGTACATCCTCTGTGAAACACGGACAAGGGATATCCACTAGTCCCAACCACCTGAGAGTTCCAAGATGGTGAGTGGTAGCACATGTACAGGCCCTTGGGGCACATCTTGTCAAGGAAAGTGTGATGTGCTCCTGTGGGCCAATGAAGGGTGTAGGAAAGTTCTTTGTTCTCTTCCCTAATGCACAGCCATTGCCACTGTCCAACTTTGTGGTTTTCTCTTTTGAAACATGAAAATGACCCTTGTTCTCTTTTACTGGAATAGATCTGAATGTGTGTATTCTTGAATTAAGAGCCCCCCCATGTCATCAGCTGAGCAATGATTAATGCAGTGATTATCCAATTAATCATTAATTGCAATAAGTTAAGCGATATACAATTAATGTGATGCTTTATCACCAATAATTAGGGGAAAAATTGAACTCTTGGCAAAGAATCATAGCAAGATGGTTATTTAATTCCTGTAGTCGTCATGGTTTCCAGCCACAGAGCACCAAGCTGAGTCTAGTTAAGGTAATTTGGGACAAGATGACCAGAGGGTATTGGTGCTTTTAAAAAATGGGGGTTGGAAGGGAAGCAGGGAAATAGCTCAACTTGAAATGACACCACAGCAGTGCTTCAGAAATCCCTGACATTCATGTTTATATTTTTGTAAATTTTTGAGTTAGAATGGTAGTTTGAGTGTTTTCATTTTTCTAAAGGATTGGCCTGAAGGAATTTTACTTTATTAATTTTTTTAAATCTATGATGCTCACCTAACACAGCAATTAGTGTAGTGGAGCATCCCTGATTTGAATCTATGGAAGACTGCTATTAAAGGAAGTATTAATGGGCTGGCGAGGTCTGGGTGACTGTTAGGGAAAAGAATGTTTATGGAATATGGTGCTGGCAGGCATGATTTCAATTGGATTTGACATGTTTAACATAAATGTATAGTGTATGGCTCCTGCCGCATATGAATAATTCCTTCAGACCTGCTGCCTTTCTAATTACTAAGGTTGAAAAAAAGCAGGTCAGGCACATCTTGGTGCAAATCTATTACCAGCCCTCCCCCTATTTTCCCTGTTGTTTACAGCTTTGTATAAATAGAGATGCCTTTGTATGGGGAACTTAGAGCCTGAAATATAATCTGTGACAAAGAATGGAAAGAGGCTGAAAAAATACTTTTTTTTTTTTTTTTTTCCAAATTGAGTCTCTAAAGACAAAAGAAGGTATGTGCTGAGAGGAAACATGTGGTAGGAAAAACACAGGACTCACAGGAGTCAGAAGCCCTGGGTTCAAGGCCTAATTCTGCCACTAAGATTACCTTTGTGACCTCAAGTCTCTGGACCTCAGTTTCCAAATCTGTAAAGTGGCAGGTTGGACCAAATGGGTTCTTAACAATCTGGAGCTCCATAAAATATGACTGGGGGAGGGAGAGTTGTAGAGTAGTATAGAATCTTGGAGCATATTAATTACTAAAGTTGGAATGCTGATAACTTTCCAAGATTTTCCTTGTCTGTGGCTAGTTAATATACCCTGGATAAAAGGTTCAAGCCTTTCTTGATAGAGGTCAGGCAGCACCAAGCCTACTTTTCTTGATGGGGTGTCAGAGCACCATATGCCCTTACCTAGTTCTGTGTTCTTGGGACAGACTCACTGTGGTATCAGAGCCAGTGTGATGAGGACATCAACAGAGGAGTCCTTGGAGACTCACATGGATGCCTTTGAGTGGCCACCTATATCCCAACCCTGTTGCTGACTAGAAACCAGGCCATTCACCACCACCACACCTCTACAGAAATCATTCTGGCCTAACTCTGTATCTTTCCAGTGCTTGGTTTCATTTCTCCACCTCACCCAAAAGTAAATTTGTCTTTGCAGTAGGGTGCATGTGAGGGAATGCTGGGAGCCCATTGTGCGTGGCCCCTTTGTGGTTCACGGTCCTGCCAATGGAAACCGTTTTTGGTTTTATGTTTTCACACATAGATGGGAATTGTGTGACTGTGTCAGCTTTTTCAGAGTCAGCTTGTCCCCCCTTCTCTCACTCCCCACTCTTTTTCTTCCAGGCCACTTCCAGTATACTTGGCTGCTTAAAGTCACTGCAGGCGGAATTCTGTCTCACAATTGAAAACAAACCATGAACTATTTTTATGTTGGGAAGCCAAAATAGATACAGGCTGTGGTGTATATCTGGACTTGCCCGAATTCCAGTTAATTCAAAGGTCTTGGCTTTGAGAATTTATATTGTAAGTCATAAGAGAGACAGGGACTACATCAGTTGAACAAATATTTTCTTGCACAGATATATCTAAGGCAGGTACAGGACATGCAAAAAAAAAAAAACAACTCACTTTCTAGAAGTGTTGTCATATGTAATCACATAATTATGACACAGTATAATGAGAACTATCATCAAGGTATAGATAAAGGGCAGTGAAAATGTAGATTAAGGAGCAAATCATTGTTCATCACTATAGAAAATACCTTATAGATTTGCATATTATTCTTACAGAGTGGCCATGTTAATCTTGCCTGCTTTGTTCTGGCTTTAATTTTTGTGCCAATGAGAAAGTACCTCTGTTATTATAATCGTGATTGTTAAAAAAAAATTACCATTGTGCCTTTCTGTGGGGGATATTAGAGCACGTTCATTAGGTTCTCATATTCTTCTTGGGTCCAATGTTACCTTCGTTTTGCAGCCTCGAGAACTAAGTAAGGCTCATAGATTGGGAACTTTTGGGTGTCAGAGTTGCACTCAAACCCCAATTTGCCTTCTGAGTCAGATACATTTCCTACATTATAAAGCCGAAGAACATGTAACATTATCACTTTCTCTACTTACAGGAAGATTGGAGGAGGAGAACTTAAGTTCTGTGCTTCTCTTGTCAGATAGAGTTGTCAGCTGTTTATGGTCAGGAGCTGTGTGGCAACCATTGATTTTTGTAATTCCTAGCACCTAGTAAGTGCTTAATACTGTTCAGATGTTTCATTAACAATCAATTGGTAAAAGAGCATGACATAAGTACCTTCAAGTCCAAGTTATTCTACTTTCTGCTTTGTAGACATTAAATCCATGGGTTAATAGGATTGTCTTATCCTGGTATACAGAAAAGACAAATTTAGGGTGCCTTTGCTTGTCCTAAAAACCAAGTTTCAGTGTGACAGCTTTTAGAATTTGTCTAGCAGGCTTTCCGGTCTTCACTGGAAAGCCCGTAAAAAAGCAAAAATAAACAAGTTTCTCCCCTCGTTCTATGGTTTTATAGCCCCACCAGTATTATTTTCCAATCCTTCCAAAAAAGAAACCATAGCAACAAATGTTTGCACTTTCACCATGTGCCAGACTCTGTGGTAGGCGTCATATGCCTGATCTCTGGCTAGCGGCACAGAAACCGTGTGTAGTCAGTGTTACCCCACTGACAGATGAGGAAACGGAAAGTTCAGTGTAGTCAGATAGGATGCTTGAGGTTACACAGTCAGGATCTGAACCAACTGTGACCAGCGCTACAAAGCACTGTGCTTTATTACCTAGCAAGGGGGGCTGACTGATGCCTTCGGGTGAAGAGAACTTGGCCTTAGGCAAACAAGTGAAAAAACATCAGTTCCTGAGGAGTCCCTGAAGGCGCTCCAGAACCACCTCCCTGCACTTTCACAGAGGTCACTTATCCTAGGCCTTTGGAGTACTGTGAGTGAGCTGAATGTGGGAACTCAATGGAGATGGAAAGCAGCACTGATATTAAATATAAACATTACTCAATGTAGGGTGTCTGTCTCTCTGTACTGTACAAAATGCCAAGAGAAGATGTTGACAGTCTTTGTAGTGCCTAAATCTGGAGGGGAAAGTGGAGAATCATTCCCATTTCCCACCCTTGCAGGAACCTGAGTAATGTCTTTCTTCCCTAAGTACAAGTTCTTACACTTTCCTGTGGAACCTGGACTAGGAAAAACAAACCCTAGGTGGATCACGAGGGAAGACCAGTTTGTAAGGTTCTGATAAGTTACATTCAGCAGTTCTCTGTATCTGTCACCATTCTGGACACACACCCATATTTTATCTGTTTATGTTCACAAGTTCACTTTCACTCATAAAATTTAGTATTTTAGGAAGACAGATTTGGAATGGAGAAGAAACTAGAAGAATATTGCTATATTGCAGTCTCTCAGAGTCTAGACTGTGTTGGGGCTCGGAGACCCTAACTAACCTAATTATTGTTTGACTCGGTGGAGACTGAATGGTCCTCTGTTAATTAACTTTGGCCCGATCCCAGAATGATTCGCATGTCACTGGTTTTGATCTAGGTCCTGCACCTCTGGGCTTTTTCCTTTGTTGGTCCAAAGGTCTCTGAAGTTCCTTCCCGCTCTGGTTGTCTTCACAGTCCTGTAATAAAGCCACAGGGAAGCGTGATAAGTGCAGACCCCCTAGTGTGTCCCTGGACTGTGGCCACCCATCCTCACAAGATACCATGGCCATAGCTGCAGGAAGCCATGCCAGGGGAAGACAGCATATTTTGCAGGAACCAACAAGAGGCCAAAGACAGGCAGGTCGACTCAGTACCTCAAAGTCAGGAATCAGGTCAAAGTCAAAATCAGGAATATTTAGCAGGCCTCCAAAATCCTGGCATGAGCCAGGCTCATGGTGGCAGTCCAATGCCTATAATTGATTAAACAGACCAACAGCTGATGTTGGTCTAAACCAGGTGGTGGCTCTGTTTTGACTGGTGATTCATTTGCAAACCTGACACAGAGGGAGCAAGGTGTCTTGAAACTGAAATGTCAAATGGCCTTTTGGGAACTCAGATCAGTGTGGTTAAGCAGCCTTATGCATATTTCAGCAAGGAATTAGTGCAACAGATTGATGTCTCTGATGTAGGGCTCAGCACTGTTTTTCTCCCCAAATACGCAGAGCAAGCAGCAGCACCCACCGGTCATTGTGTGCCCACCATCCCACCTTGAGGCTTCCAGAGCCTGCCAGAGAGGCTGCTTCCTGCAGAGAAAGCAGAGGCCCCACAGAATGGTGCCTGAACCTCCATTCCCAGATTGCTGACTTGTGCAAATGGGGGCTAGCATAGATCTGTGCATCCTTCCAGAGCTGAAGCATAGAGGGCCTTCAGCTGCTGAGGCCCGCAGGTGCCTGGCCTAGGGAAGCCAGCACTAAAAAGATGCTTCCTCTTTCTGCAAGGTGGAAGGAGCCCACAGGTATTTGTGCCCTTTTCACAGAGGCTCTCCAGGATAGGACATGTGGAAATAAAGAGATTTCTGTAAACAAGGGAGTCTGTCCTTTTTCTGGATTACGCTGCTAACAGAACACGTGGAGCTTATTCCTTCTGAATTTCTGGTTTTGAAGGTGTCTGCATTTGTTTTAGAGTAAACAGGTGGCCTGAGGGTATTTTAAAACATCTAGGCTATGAGACCGGACCTGGCTATCATCCCTGAGTTTAGATGAGAGTATCATGTCATCAGAGTCATTTAAAGTGGACTGACAGATTGGCCCATGCTTGCTGGGCCCTCTCATTTAATTCTAGTTAGACCGCAAAGCAGCGTGGTTCCTACCTATTACACAAAGCCTTGGCTCTGACCGCTGTTCTCAAAGTGTGGTCCCCAGACCATCAGCATTACCTGGGAACTTAACTGGAAATGCAAATTATCTGACCCAGACTTACTGAATTACAACCTTAGGACAGGGGCTGTGATCTGTATTTCAATGAACCCTGCCTGGGAGTCTGACACATTGTGGCATTTGCTGAACCTCAAGGCTGCGATCTCAGTGACAAGCGTGAGGTTTTGAGATCTACTTCTTAACTAGACAGGAGGTCCTGAGCCCTTGCTGGGTTAGGGAGGCATGGAGCTTTCCTAAAGGACAGGGAAGGTGTATGACAGGCATAGGGCCCTAGGTTTTGGTAGATGTAAGCAACATTGGGGGTTGGGGAGAGAGGGAGGGAGCCAGAGAGGCAGGGTCACGATGAAGAGTGATTGAAGACCTGGAAATCTTTATCTAAACTGCTTAATAAGTAACACCTGGGTGAAGTATACATGGGCTCTTTCTATGCTGTTCTTGTGACTTCCTGTGAAGCTATAATTATTTCCAAACAAAAAGTAAAATCATAACAACACCTAAGAGCTGCTGGAGTTTTAAAGTGCTGACCTATTTTGTTCATATTTAAGTTGGAGAAGAAAAATAATTAGCCTTTCCCTGAGTAACTCTTATAACTATGTGTAGTATAAATCAAATTTTCTTTGAAATCCTTTTTAGAAACAGAAGGTCTGTGAAGTTGATGGAACCTCTGTGTCTTGCCATACCTGTGTAGGCATATTCTGCTTTTGGGGGTAGGTGTTTTCTAGGGATATATGGGAGCAAGATAGCTTGCATTTCCAGAGAATAAGACTGTGTTTTGAATAGAAGGTTCTTAACTTCACCAGGTTGGATGTTGAGACAGATCCTGCTCCTTTGGATAGGGAAGAGAGAAGCCTCAGCTCCTTTTTAGCTGTGGCATGAAGACCGCCCCCTGCTGAGTGGACATGTGCATGCATCTGCTTCACACAAATCCTCTTCCCCTCTACCCCTGTTCCTCTTTGAAACATCTCTAAGTACTTGGTTGGAGGCAGAATGAGACTGTGCATGTTTAAAGACCAAGCTGGCAGGAAAGCAGATTCTTTAAAGGAACTGTTGTTCTCTCTATTGGGGGAGGAAGAAAATTTAGCCAGATCTTTGGCCACTTATCAAGTGCAGTAGCTCCACAGGAGATTTGAGTAAGAAAGCCCAGCCTGTCCTCTGGGGAAGGAATTGCAAGCAAATGCCAAGAGTAACTCTACTTTCAATGAAAGTCAGAAGATCACAAAATCCAGAAGCACAGATGACCCTCTGGAAACATTGCATTTGTGCTGTCTAGAGGGAGCACGAGGTATGAGAAGCTGAGAGAGAGGAGCTATGGGAAACACACATTGCACCTTCCATTTAATTATGAGCTGAAGGACCATTTTCAGATCTCATGATACATATATGTCTCGTGTGTTGGAATAGTTATCCCAACTCAGACATTGAGTATGGAGTTGTGTGAATTTATTTTTTCGCTAGTCAACGGAGATAGAGAAAAGATTGCTGTAAATTTCTGGGGCAGGTGGCAAGCTGGTTTACGGAATGCAAGGCGATGAGAACCTCTGGCTTACGGAAAGTAGCATGAATTAATAATCATTTAATTGGTTCCTCCATTATGTTGCTGGTTTGGGAGATGGAAGTTTAGATGGAGGGGCTGTCAGTGATACTTTTTAGCTAAGAGTCTGATAGTTGAGAGGTGGGGGTGGTGGCTGCCTTTGGATTCTCCACAAGGTTCAAATGTCAGGCAGCATCCCAGGCCCTCAGTGGGCTCACCTCGGGACCCCAGAAAGGAAGAGGATCAGCACTTTGGTGATTACCACCTCCAAGAGTCACTCTACCATGAAGAGATGCAAAAGAAACTTCCCAGTAACGTGGACACCTCAGTGCCTGCCCAGGATCTCACCAAGGGAGGGAGGCCGCTGGCCAGAGGGTTACTGGTCTGCATCATAGGATGCCCACCATGCCAATAGCTCACTGGTGTGTTGAGTGATGAGAAGATGAATTTTGCTCAGGAAACACAGAAACTAATTCTGCCAGTATGTTGGTTTTCTTGGAGGGCAAGTGGATATCTTGAAAATGAGGGACCTTAAGGTTCCATATTTACTTCACTTGCAATTTTTCTTCAGGTTTATCTTTGATGAAGCAGCAGCTCCACGCCTTACTTGGCTTCAGAGTTGTATAGAGTTACTAGATGAGAAATGAAGCCTGTGTTGGCATTAAGTCCACTGGGATTGCAAGGACAACTCTTAAGTTTTCCGTGGCCAGAATTTCAGTGATTCGGATGTCAAATTTGTTAGCAAAGATTGGGATCACATGAGAATTTGTTCTAGCAAGAATGGTTTTATCAGGTAAAGTTATAAGGGACTGTGAATGTTGAAAGGCTGTGCTTCTACCGTCTTTGGCCACTTTATAAGCTTTCTAAGTGATACTGTTCCTTAAAGTAAGTCACTTTCTACATGAAGTTTTGCTAGCCATATTTTAATTATTCTATATGCTTATGATATAATAAAACCATTTCTTGCAAATTTCAAACAAAACTTTGCATGAATGCTTATCAGCTCTCTTCCCTATTCCCTCTAACTAGCTTGAGTAGAGGGGTAACTTTTGAAGTAATTATTTTTAGAGGTTAAATACTTCTAAAACAAATATGATAAAATCAAAGGATATCTGGAAGTTGGTGTCTCCATGCATAAATGATTTTCCCCCTAAGGGAGCCATGTATTGACAACTGTGCTTCCCTTTGAAATGAAATACTTTTGCCTAGAATGCAGAGGAGCCCAAGAGGATAAAATAGACAATCATGAACAGGTTTGTCTCTCTCAGTATTTGTCTTTGTGAGTTTTAGTTGGCCAACTCATCACAGTATGAGGAGAAGTGGTGACTGTTGGCCCAGGAAGCCGACTTTTGAATTTCTGAACTCCGTAACAGGGACATGCTAGTCTTTCCTGTGCCTCATCAGCGCGCATTGGGTAGGGCCACCGTCACACTAACAAGCAGAGCAAGTGCTTTCTCACTCCCTAGAAAGTCTGTGTGGCGTAGAATCCATAGCGAGCACATCCGGTTAAGTTTGAGTAGGAGTTTGACCCAGCATTTCGTTGTCACAATATCCCATTTTCCTAGCTTTATAGAGTTTGTCATCTATAGTGCATTCAGTTGCATGATTCCTTACCACATTTTTATCCCCTTTGAAATCCCAGGAGCCCAACATGTTGCCTGTGGAAGATTCTCTGAGATTTAACACATATTTTCATATTTTATAGCTGCCAAAATGAGAGAAATTGCTTTTACCAGCAAAGTAAAAAATATCATCTGATGTTTTGCACAGTATAGAGCCAATACCAACTTCTTCATGGACGGTTGAACTTAACTGATAACTATAATATTAAAAATGAAATGACTGTGAAAAACTTATAAAGTGGTCCTTGATGTCATCACCTAAAGACAATGATCATTCTAGTCTTTTTTTCTAATACCTGCTTTTTACATAGCTGTAACATGAGATAGTACACATTTTATCTTCTTTTCTGATTTGCATTCTCAATGATTTTTCCATATTGCTTCATAGCAGTCAGTGTTAATGTCTTCTAATACTCAGTAGAATGGCTGTACCATTGTTTACTTACACCATGCCCTATTGTAAGATATCTAGATTGTTTCCAAATCATTTTGTCATTATTGTACAAACCAGTGCAGTTACTAACGCTTCAAGTTGTTTGCTTTTTTGTTGACAGTATAAACCAAACGTTCCAGGCAGCAATTGTCTGAACTATGTCTTGTCTCTGGAGTGCATGTATTTCCATTTCACTTATGTGACATCATAGCAGGCTTAAAGTGACCAGTAATTGATTTTTAAGAGTGTTTTGTATATTGTGACATGTCTTCTGGACTTTAAGTTTAGAAAAGCCTTCAAAATGGGAAACCACAGTACTTTCTCTCTTGGTATTCATCAACTTCATTTACTTATGCCTATGATGTATGCTAGTGACAGAACTGACGTAGAAATTGATTCTGAGACTCTGGCCCTTTTGAAGTTGTTCAGAGAGAAGAAACTTGAGAGAACTTCTGACTGTGGCCTGTGATAAACTCTCATCTAGCGTGTTGATGGAGAACTTGCAAAACTTTTTTTTTTCTTTTTTTTTTTTTTGAGACAGCCTTATTCTGTCACCCAGGCTGGAGTGCAGTGGCACAATCATGGCTCACCACAGCCTCAACCTCCCAGGCTCAGGTGATACTCCCACCTCAGTCTCCTGAGTAGCTAGGACTACAGGCACCCACCACCACACCTGGCTAATTTTTGTAGAGATGGAGTTTCACCATGTTGCCCAGGCTGGTCTTGAACTCCTTGGGCTCAAGTAATCTGCCCACCTCAGCCTCCCAAAGTGCTAGGATTACAGGCGTGAGCCACAGCACCTGACCAGAACTTGCACAACTGTTTGCCCGTCTACAGAAATGTTGTAACGACTTTGGTACCATGTCATGATAGGGATTGACATTTTAATGTCTAAGGTCAATTAAGGGAGGGGCATGGGTCAGCCATAGTTAACTCTTACGAGCCATTCCCACATCACTCACGGAAACACAATGAGATTGTAACTGGATGTTTATAGAATCTGTTATAAGAATGGCATTGCTTTATCTTTAGAGAAGGGGCCAGTGAGCTGCAGGTGGCTAATGTCCACTTCTAGACAGATTTGATCTAATAAAGATGAAGATTGTCCTAGATAGAAAGGAGATGAACCTGAAGTTTGTGCACCAGTGGATGCAGCATTTCATGTTAAAGCAGGGCTGTTGTATTACTGCGAAGAAAGAGAAATGAGTGAGCAAGTGGTGATTTTATTTTTTAAAACACTTTATAATGGGTCCTTAGCTCAAGCTCACAAAAGAAGCTTTAGAATTCCAGAGCAGTTTGAGTTTAAAAAAAAAAAAAAAAAAGAAGTAGTTCCCCTCTCCATGCAGGGGGAAAGAATAGTGGCTTCTGAAACCAGAATTCTCACCTCTGCAACCTCACCACAATTCATCATGTGTTCAGCATTCAAGGAAGAGGATGGACTCTTTGGTCCTATGAGGAAACTAATGCTGCACTGGGTTACTGTGTTTGCTTTTCAGCTCTGGGAGAGAGATGAGTTGGGTGGTCTCAGCCTCGGTGCCCATTCATCCACACTATTGAGCAAGTGCACAATTGACTCATTCCATAGTAGGGGGGCAGGTAAATTGAGGGCATTTACAAGGCAGTCACAGTCCTGTAAAACAGGTGTTGTTTTTAGTCAGGCAGAGTAACAAAAAGATGGAGATGGGTGTATGGAATAGAATCTATGTCTTAGTTTGCCTCTACTGGAAGGAGGAGCAGACAGCAGCTTTTTCCTAACTATATATACCCTGAACATAACCTAATGCCTGCTGATTGGGGTTCACAGTAGAGAAGGTAAAGAAATGGCTGTGACGAATAAACATTGGAAGTATTATTTGATGCGCTCACCCACGCCATGTTGAGAATACATTTGAAGAGTTAATATGTAGAAGATAACCACCAAGCAAAAATCAAAATGATGGAGAATAAGGAAGTTTATGGGGGCAAGGGAACTTAAGTTCCTGAAAACATTAATTAGACTCCAAATGTAGACGTGTTCAGGAGCAGCCCATCGCACTGCAAGGTCTAAAACCTGCCAACGCAACGTTCCGTAGGATCAGGTCTGAGCGGGGCCAGGAGATGGGAAGTGGGCCATGGGGGAACTGGTGTAGAATGTTACAGCACCTAGTTAATCGGCAGCCAGTCCATCACATTAAACATCCAGCCGTCATGTATTACCTTTCAAGTGAAAATGAATAACTCCCATTAAGAGCAAAATGGGTTTGAAGTCGATTCGAGACAGATTAAAGTACTGTTATGAATGTGTGTGTTGGGAGGAGGAGGATCTGTGTGTAATATGCTTGTCCTTGTACTTTTTAAATAATAGATGCCCTACAAACTTATGTAGACCAGGTTACCAAGATACTGGGGTTAAAGGTCACAATATGTGCATTCTGGGAAGAGCATCAACTTCCTGGAATGTATTTCCTGCATCTGGCAAATTTTTCTTTTCAAAATTATATTGTGGCCTTATGATTTTAATGAATAAAATTGATTTTCTAAAATTGTTTATTAAAGTAATGACAGCATCTTGGTGTCCACATCAGAACAAATTTCAAACCCAAGCATAAATGGAAATACATGACAGATAACTAGACAGGGTAAAAAAGAAAGCAGTTTAACAGGGAATAAAAATTGGGCTTTCTAATTCAGTGACCTGAATGCTGAGTCACATTATTTTTTCATGAGGGCAGTGGGTATGTATATTTTCTCACTACCACCTTTATTCTTACTGCTTTAAGCAAAATTCTGAAAAATGGAGTCCCACATTCAAAACAAATGAAAGGCAACACTCAGATATTGACCAGGTTATGGAACAATCAGATCCAACCACACTGTGTTTAAACTGGAGGAGCCTTGCTTATCCTGGATAAACCCTCAACCTGGCTGTTTTCTTATCAAAGTGTTTGCCTCTACTGGAAGGAGGAGCAGATAGCAGGTTTTTCCTAACTATAAACCTTGATTCTAACCTAATGCTTACTGATCAGGGTTAACAATAGAGAAGGTAAAGAAATGTTTCCTTTCCAACCTTCAGCACTTCTGTACATGCTGTGTGCTACTCAATCCTTATGGGCTGCTCCTCTTTAATTAGTGTTTGGTTTTTTGGTGGTATAGGCAAGAGGGGCGTGGAGGCATGGTTTGGGCAAGCTGATAGGAAACTTTCCCTATTCCCACCCACTCTGAATAAACTCTTGGGTCTGGAGCATTGGCTAGATTATATCCTGGATTCAGGCCCTGCCTAGTTCCACTCCTCAATTATATTCTTCCCCAAAAGCAAACTGCTGAATCCAAACTTGATTTTTTTCCCCCACATATTTGGTGTGCTGATATTCATGTGAACCTTTCTCAAATCACATTTTTCATGTTGCTGGTGCTGTACCATGTTGTGATTCCAAGAGGAGGGACAATAGAGTTGAGAGCACATCTCTTCTTAGATTTCTGAAGCACAGCATGTCTGGTACTGAGGTTGGCAAAGCAGCTGGTGAGACTTTCCCACCCACCCTCAGCCCTACTGCCCCCCACAAGCCAGCAGATTGTGTCTAGATTGGGGGAGGTTAGAACAGACTGAATTTAGCTTAATCCAACTCCAGAGCCTTTTATTCCATTTCTTTGCCTTCTTTTCCTAATGTTCAGTTGTTAAAGTAGTGACAGAAATTCATGGGGGAGAAAGAAACACTTGCTTCTTTTCCAACATGCTTGATAAATCAGTCCGGATGTTCATCCTTCTTGAATTGTGGTGTTTTAAGAAAATCCTGTGCTATAAATGAATGTTGATTTTCACCCAACACAAACCCTCTGGGAGCTGGCCTGGTCTGGCTGCTGTATTGCATCTTCTACTTTCTCTTCTAGCATCGTCCAGCCAAGCAGAGAAGGAGCTGACAGATTCTCCTGCAACCTCCAAACGCATCTCCTTCCCAGGTAGCTCAGAGTCTCCCCTCTCTTCGAAGCGACCAAAAACAGCTGAGGAGACCAAACCGGAGCAGGTGAGGCTGGAAGGGACTCTGCTGGTGGGGAGGTGAGGTGTTTTAGACATTGGTAGGGAACAAACTTTTGGGTGGGCGGACTTGGGGGCATACACAGTTGCTCAAAGCAGTGGGTGTGTTCCCCACAGATGTACCAGTGTCCCTACTGCAAGTACAGTAATGCCGACGTCAACCGGCTCCGGGTGCATGCCATGACGCAGCACTCAGTGCAACCCATGCTTCGCTGCCCCCTGTGCCAGGACATGCTCAACAACAAGATCCACCTCCAGCTGCACCTCACCCACCTCCACAGCGTGGCACCTGACTGCGTGGAGAAGCTCATTATGACGGTAAGGCAGCCAGAAGCAGCACCCTATGGTCTTTCTCCAGGGTCAAAGGTGACGCAGTAACATGGGCAAGATACTGTGTTATTGGACGAGAAAGCCAGTGTAGAGTTGGAAACGTCAGAAAACAGTCCTCATTCTGTGACCTTTGTTGTACTGTCCCTGCCTTAGACTTGGCATGACCATAGCCCAAAGTGCTGAACATGTTTCTCAACCTCCCTTATCATCCTCTCTCCCCTCAGGGGACAGAGGTATGGATTAGCTAACCATTTATGTGAAGAAATCATTATTCAAATTCTTTAAACCTTTACTGAGCAGGTCATGGACTAGATTGCTCTTACCTTCATTGTGTCTCATTTCATCCTCATAACAAATTCTGTTTTTGTTTTTGTTTTAAAAGGGAGCCAGGCACACTAGCTCACACCGCTAACCCCAGTTCTTTGGGAGGCCATGGTGGGGGGATTGCTTGAGGCCAGGAGTTTGAGACCAGCCTAGGTAACATAATGAGACCCCCGTCTCTACAAAACATATTTTAAAATTAGCCAGGCATGGTGGTGCATGCACCTGTAATCCTAGCTACTTGGGAGGCTGAGTTGGGAGGATCACTTGAGCCCAGGAGTTTGAGGTTGCAGTGAGCTATGATCAGGCCACTGTGCTCCAGCCTGGGTAACAGAGGGAGACTCTCTTTAAAAAAGGAAAAAAAATTTTTTGGCACATTCCCATCAGCAGATAAGGAAGCTGAGGCTCAAAGATGTTAATTGACTTGATGCCATTTGTAAGGAGCAGAGATGAGATTTGAACCCGCAATTTCCAACTCTAGGGGTAGCCCTGTAATGGAGGAGTTTCTCAGTGGATACTTTGATTTTCAAAGCAAGAAAATGTTGAGATGGATTTGCTGATTCGTGAATGTGGGTTTTGCATTTGAACATGATATTGCTACAACTGCAGATTTTGAAAGCATGCCCCTGAGTGACCACTATAAACATGGCCTAATTAGTGTAAAGATGTAAATCTAACTGTAATATGAAAACTTTTCAAAATAGTGCCGGTGATGGTGATGTCCTACTTTTGACTACGCTGGTGCTGTTATGAAAGTCATTTCCTGGCCAGGCGTGGGGGCTCACGCTTGTAATCCCAACACTTTGGGAGGCCGAGGCAGGCGCATCACCTGAGGTCAGGGGTTTGAGACCAGCCTGGCCAACATGGCGAAACCCTGTCTCTGCTAAAAATACAAAAATTAGCCAGGCATGGTGGCAGGTGCCTGAAATCCCAGCTACTAAGGAGGCTGAGGCAGGAGAATCAATTGAACCCGGGAGGCAGAGGTTGCGGTGAGCTGACATTGCACCACTGCACTCTAGCCTGGGCGACAGAGCGGGACTCCGTCTGAAACAAACAAACAAACAAAAAACACCAAAGCCCTTTCCTGATCATTAGAGGAAAAACCACCAAAAAGAACTATTCTCACCTCTTCCTTAGCATTATTTTAGCAGTGGAGTAATAAGAAGTTAATTTGATTGCCGTTTCATGTGAAGATACCCAGAGAGGTAGTCTGTTCACAACTGCACATTATAATGTGCAGGTCACAGACATGTCACTTCTAGGCATTTCCTATTCCATTTGGTTCTGCAAAAATTAATGAATAATGTTGTAAGTGATGTCTAGTCGTGAAGAACATATAATCGATGATGCATCAGGAGAACCTTAGCAGCCAATGGGAAGCTCAAAGGTGACCTAGCATGAGTTGCCTTTCAGAGGTCTTTCAAGTATAAATTAACTTTCTGTGGGTATTTTCAAATCAGCTGATGAACATTGTGTAAAGATTCTGTGTAAGTGATAACCTCCTTCTGTGGACCCGTGGGTTTCTGTGTTACTGGTTTCCTCAGCTTTCTCATCAGCCTTGGAAGTAACAGGCCTCGTTGTACTTCCCAGTTGATGGACTAGAACCATGGGAGCCTGAAGGAACAGAAAGAGATGTGGGGAGGGAAGCATTGTCAATACTGACCTACATTTTTCTTTTACTTAGGTGATTGTTTTTGCTATTTTAATATAAATCTAGTCTAGGGACTGAGCCTATAGTAATCTGCACGACTGGTTTACATTAGACAGTAAAAACTTCATTTATATATCTCTAGGGACTAGAGTATAACTTATATTTCAAATATTCATTGTCATATTTTCATAACAGCAATAGCAAGGTAAATTTCAAGTGGCAAGTGTGGTGGTCATTGTGAATCTTCATTTACCAACAGAGTCTTCAAGGGCAGGATATTACTTCTGTGTTTGCTTAGGTAGCAATCCCTAAGATATTTCTGGAAGTTACCCATTAACTAGCACCTTTGGAAGCAGTGATCCTTAACCTTTATGGAGACTCTCATGAAAGCTATACAACAGCCATACTGGATTATTCTTTGCACACCAATGTTTGATAACCACTGTTACCCTCCATCAAGTATTTTGCAAATATAAAATTGTGTGTACAATGCCAGGGAGCATAAGGATATATCCATGGGACTGGCCAATAAAAACTGTTCTAGAACCCCTGACAATGTAATTATGTAGGAGACACTGCTCCCTAAAGCACTGCTGTGCTTGGTACCTTGTATAGAAACCCCTATGTGCCTAATCTTTCCATAGCAGACCATGGAAATGTTTTCTAGACATTTCTGAGAAGTATGCAGGTTGTGGGAAATGCACTGGTAATAGGAAGTCAATTGGTTAGCAACAAGAGAAAGTTAATGGATTCAGGAATAAAGTTGAAAGTTATGAGAAATATAATCATGTAAGTATTTTACCTTTTCCCGAAAGATGTATATGCAAGGATGAGTTTTCTCTTTGCATGGGAAGATGGAGATATGGCATGGCTGTCAGTATTGAACTGGTCTGTCCAGTCATGGGGATAGTTTGCATTGAGCCAAACTATGCATTTCTATCTCAGTCCTTTAGTTCAGCAGGAAAAAAATAAGCAACCAGGGTTGTTAGAAGGAATTTGTGGGCCTACCACAAGGTGAACCCGAGATCCTGTTTGAGGACTGGAATACTGATGATCTTGGTCTCTGCCCTGATGAATCAAAGCAGATGCCAGTGTCTTTCCTGTGAAAAATTTGGAATAAAAATGGTATTTGCAATTGTTTTAAAACTAAGTGATTATAATGAACCTATGGTTAAAATCATGTCATGGGAGGGTATCTTACTGTCATTTTGTTAGAAAATTGGCCCTGGGAAAGTATTGGTTAGGCTCTCTAACGATATATCTGTTTGTTCATGGCCAACTACAGCAGGAAACTGAAAACAGCATGATGAAAAATGCCCCTCTAATCAGGGCTCCATTTTCTAAACCATATCGTTAAGGAATGGCCAGTTCTACGGTCATTCATCCTCCAGGAGAAGAAAGTTATGTCTGCTTTGTCCCTGAGTGGCTAGGATGAATAGCAGCAAGAGGAGTGAATCTTCTTTCTTTCCAAATGGGTTGACTGAGTTAGTTGCCGTTGGCTGCAGAATAGGAAAAGCTTGCAAAATCTCCCAAACAGATGATTCCTGGCAGACATGGGGTGTGTCCGGGCTATTTACAGCTATAAATTCTGGTAAATATATTTTGCTGTCTGGGTCCAAAGTCTCAGGATTTAGCTTGAGTTTGGTTCAGTCCCACTAAAAGTAAATTCCACCCTGATAAATGGAAACAGATTACTTTCTACACGTCTTTCCGTTCAGTTGTAAATGGAGTGCGTTTTGAGGAGGCTTCATTTAATAATACCTTATCAGACAGCTTTCAGGAACCTGCAGTGTCTAATATGTCTGTTGCTATGGTAACAGCTGCTTGCTTATGCTCTGCATTTCATATCTATGTCTTCCATGGGCCCCCTTCTTCTTACTGATGAGGGGGCTTGAGAAATATTCTCCACTAGGAACAATTGCAGTGCTGGCCCTCCACTATGGAGACCGCACCCACAGCACTTCATTCTTCTTGGCCTATTGGAAACAGAGCTGCAAAGAGTGTCTCTGCACACGTCATATGAAAAGGAAATCTATAAAGCTTAAGGGAGATGAGACAAGGGCCCCTCCACAACTGGCTGGGCAGCCCGCCCCTAATGTCAGTTTCACATAAGAACTCTCACCTATTTACAAAGAAGCTTGAGATTTCAAATTGGTGAAAGAGATGTAGGAGCTGCTGCTCAGTGCCCTTATTTTCCTATTCTTTCAGGAAAGGAGGGTGGAAGGCATGGGGCCCATGTTTCTGGCCCCTGGATGAGAATAGGAAAGACCACCTACCATGCATTTCAATACTCTTAAATTATTCTAATTGATCACTATCTTTCTAAGTGACAGGACATACCACTGGGATCCTGAAGCACTGATATGGGGAAATTCTCTTTGTTCTTTCATCATTTAACAAAATATGACCTCACAGTGGAGATGGGATTGGCTCCTGGGCAGCTTAGGAACATATTCTCTAGCCCTTTGTCTTCGCTCCCTTTGGTAGTTCTTAATTATTCTGTATTTTTTTACCTGCACAGATTTCCCTTCCATGCTCCTGGCCCTGTGTTGCCTGCACTTTTCTCTGTATCTCCTTTGAGACCAATAGTTTGTAACCTTGTGATTTTTTTTCCATCAGTGTCTGTGACTCTCTATGCCTCATGTGTGCCTGTGTGTCTGTGAGTCTCTGGGACAGGCTGGTCATCTGGGGCTCTAGGGCGGCCACTGGCCTGGGGATAGTCACACCCACCTGGGTACCAGCTCTCTCACCTTGCCTGTATCTTAAGAGGAAGGTAATGAAAATAATCGAGGTTCATTAATTCCAAGCCCTGTGAGATGATAGCCATTTGGAGCCTGTTTGCCAATTAGATGGTCTAAATTAGAAGTGACCTTGGTATACTGCCACTGCTTGCCTCTCAGTCTAATGAAGCTTTTCTCTCCAATTCATTCTCCTTCTCAGTTCTCACCTCTCTCTGCGCACATGTGTATAACTCTTCATGTGTTTCCTGTTCTCCCATCTACCTTTTCAATCCTCA